CTGTTAATGGGCATAGGGTTTATTTTTCTTTTGGCTTTTTGAAGCAGGGTCTCAGTATATAGCTCGGGATTGACTTGAATTCACTGTGTAGCCGAGGCTGGCCTCAAACTCATGGTGGGCCTCCTGCCTCAGCCTCCTGAGTGCTGGGATTTTGGTGTGCGCCTCCACACCAGGCTCTGGGCACAGCACATCTTTCGTGGATAATGCAAATGTTCTCAGGCCAAGCATCAAGGAGGAGCACACCTGTAAATGCCAGCATTCTGAGAGGCTCAGGTAGGAGCAGCACAAGTTGAACACAAACCTGGGCAACTCAGCAAGCTACTCATTTAACTTCAAAAGGTGGAGACAGCTGGGCACGGTATTGTACACTGAGGCAGGAGGATTTCTGCAAGTCTGCGGCCAACCCAGGCAGCATGGTGAGACACTGCCTCAAATGACCAAAAAAAAAAAAAAAAAACAGTTACAATGCAGGTAGGCCTCCACGCCCTCCCAGCCAAGGGTGGATGAGCTGTGCTGCGTCTCTGGCCTCATCCTGTCACTCTGTCAGGGAGCAGTCCCGGAGTCCACCCTCTGCCCCTCTTCCCTCTGTGCTCGTCTTTCCCAAGAGCCCAGGTCGGGCCTCCTGCTTCAGCCAATGCTCTTACTGCCACCCTTAAAGGGCTCCTCTCACAAGGGGTCCCCAGAACAGCCAACGTCACAGAGCTGGAGAGCAAAGGGTGGGAGGGCAGCAGGGATGAAGGGCAAAGAGAGTTAAACACCATTAAGATGGACCAGGTAAGCCCAGGGAGATAGCTCAGTAGAATAAGTGCTTGCCTGGCAAGTGTAGGGTCCTGAGTTCAATCCCTGGTACCACAAAAAAAAAAGACCAGGTATGATAACGTGTGCCTGAACCTGAGCACTCTGGGAGGCTGAGACAGGAGAATGCTAAGTTTGAGCTTACTCTGGCCTGCTCCATTATTTGTTTGTTTTGTGTTTTTGAGACAGGGTCAGTTCAGGATGGTCTTGAGCTCACTTTGTAGTCCAGGTTGGTCTCAAACTTGCCATAATCTTCCTGACTCAGCTTCCCACAGAGCTGGGGTTATGGGTATTTGTCACTACATCTGGTTCTTAGCCAACTTAGAGACCTAATGGGACTCTGTCTCTAAATTAAACACAAGTAGTAAATAAGGTTAAGATGGTGAGAAATAGTGTATACACGTACTAGGTGTACTTGCCCTGGGGGTGGCTGACTTGACCCTACCTACCCTCAGCCAGCTGCTACAGTCCCACTCAGCCACCCCAAGAGCAGCCTTCTGTCTCTCCTGCCAGCCGCCCTGGTACGCTGGCAGGCTGACTGCATTGTCTCCCGATGCCCCATGTAGGTGCCAGGTCTCCACGTAAGCATGTGCTTGGGCCCTGGATCCCAAGCTCAGAGTCCGACCCCCACCACGAAAGTGAACACAGCCAACTGGCTTGCGTACAGGAGCGATAGGTAAACAGTTGCCACTGGAAGGACCACAGTTGCCAGCTTTCTAAATCAATCTACTTTATTTGAAACTTCCCACATGCCACAAGTTCACATGAAATCACCTTCCCAGGATGAAGTGTTAGGGCAAATGCCACATTCAGGAGCATGTGCCACCACGAGATGCCTCGCTGGGCAGGGATGGAGCAATTGGTCATCAAAAGGCAGGGGATGGTCATTTAGCACCTGGTCACATGGTATGGGAGAGCCTGGGGCCAGGGAAGGCTTTGGCTCACCCCTCAGAAAAACCTTGCTGAGTGCCCCTGGTTCTGTGCAAAGCCACACATGAAGGTTACAGTCAGAGGGTGGCACAGGTTGGGGAAGATGCCGTGGCCAGCTGCACACTGCCTGCACATGCCCTTGGGCACACTCATGTTTACACAGCACACTCCTTTCCATCCTGAAAACCCAGCACACACCGTTGCACACCTCCCTTGGACGCTCATCTCCTGTGTGCCTGGCTCTGGACACTTCACTGGCATGCGGGGAGGGGGCTGTTATGCTCTCGCCTTCATGCCCCACCTCCCCAGGTCTTAGATCCTGGAAGAGACACAGCCAGGCCGTGACCCTGAGCTGTTAATGCAAGACAGAGTTCCCGACCTGTGGTGCTCATGAAAGGTCCCACCTGCCCTGTCAAGTCACAGGACTGATGATGTTATTCACTTGCGCAGGACCTACAGCCAGGAGCATTGGCTTACTGTGCCAAATAGGCCCTAGGAGCTTCTTTTGGAACCCTGAACCCCAAATATACAACAGACCAGTCACAATGAGCCCTGATGCTGTGGCTGAGGCCACTTGGAAAGGCAGGCAGCGGCAGCCGTCCGCTCCCCAAAGTTTCATGGCTGGAGCCCACGACACCATCATACCGCCCCTGCAAATCCATCTCCCTTTATAGGAGCTCTGCAATCTCTAGATCCTAGGAGGGGTCGATCACTTGGGGGCAAGGGAGGTGGGGAATAGTCCTGCTCAGAGGGAACACTAGGGTGATCTTGCTGTCCCTTCTACAAAATATCCTTCAGGGGTCCTGGCTGGGGTGCTGGTTCCCATAGCTCTGCTTCTCTGGGCCCAGGGCTGCATGCCACGTGGGTCTCTGTTCTGCACACTAGTCCCGCTCAGGGAGTGGCTGAGAGCTGGCCAATGCTGAGGGGACAGGCACCCAGCAGGGTCCAGTGCCTGGAGAGTCCAGGCCATCCTGGCTGCAGACCTCTACTGGCCCTTCAGGCCTATCCATGTGTGTAATAGTAGGATGAGAATGAGGCCAGCCACCCCAAGTAGAATGGGGGACCTGGGACCCAGAAACACACCTTTCCTCTGCTTTCCTGACCCAAATGCCTGCACTTCAGAGGCCATAGGCCCAAGGTGGCCTGCAGAGGAGGCAGCAGGGACTCAGCACACACGCCCATAGGATCGCAGGGCCCAGGATCCCAGGACACTGCACCTGGCACAGTGCCAGAGGAGGCAATCGCAGCAGGACTGGGATGAGGGGCACAAGGGGCAGTCATGGGAGGGCAGGGAATTTCTCTTTATAAGGACAAGGCTAGGGCCAGGGATATAACTCAGTGGCGAAGCACCTGCCTGGCAAGCACGAGGTCCTGAGTTCGATTCCCAGTACCAAGGAGGGAAAAAAAGAACAAAGGATGAACCTGCTGATCTCCTCCTCCCACTCGTCTCTTATACAGTCACACATACTCAGCAGATGAACTTAATATGCTGCAGACTGCACACACAGGCAGTGAGCACAGATGTGTACACACACACACATGTGCAGGTGCAAATACACACATGGCATGTGCACTCACGCTGGCATGCATGCAGACACAGATGGGCACACACACCCCTGCAGAGCCCCCCCCACAGACACGCACACATCCATGCACACAGCCACACATGCACACACACGTGCACAAAGGCTGCAGCACACATGCTGACCATGCTCCTTCCAGCAGGCAGCATACGGTCCGCCACTTAAGCGCCCAGGCCTGCCAACTGGGGACCATTAGGGTGGGTTCCTTTCCTGGCGTAAAATGCTGCAGAATATAAATCGCAATTAACACCAGCGCCAAAATAGCACTTAGAGAAAATAAGCACGTTATTAACATCTGCTGAATTGTGTCTCGGGTTTAGAAGGAGTGGAAATTCTCACTCTAAGTCAAAGGACTATTTCAGGGGACAGTAAAAATACAAGGTCTACTGCTGGGAGGGGCCTTTCGAAGGGTCTGTGCTCCCAGCCTGTCGTGCACGGTCCCCTCCCCCAGCCCTGGTTATGAGCATAAATTGTACTACTGGGTAAAGCCGCTTGCTCGTGACAACAGGCTTGTGAGCCAGATCACAAAAGCAAGTTTCAGCCTTTGGAGCAAATTCCTAGGGGAAGGATGATTCTCAGCCCAGGTGGGGTCCTCAGGGGTGGGGAGGAGAGGCATAAAGCTAGGGCACCAAGAGCCTCAGGGGCATCTCTCTTGGGCTGCACCACCCGGCCTGTCAGCTCCCCACTCAGGACAAGGGGATGGCTCTGGAGACCCCCACACTTGCCTGATCACCCAGCGGCCAATTCAGGGGCCAATTTAAAGCTCTAAAGGACTGGGAGTCGCGGGCCTTGTCAGCAGCTGTGGAGGATGCTGGCCTGGTCCAGGCAGTCTGTCCAGGTCTGCGCTGTGGGGAAGGGTGTGACTGGTCTGTGGTTCTGGAGGCCGTGTCACACCACATCCCCAGGGATCTGTCTACAGCATCTTCCTCCATTGGCTGCAGCCAGGGATGCCCTCCTGGCAGGGCAGCGGCCAGACTTGCACAACCTAATGGGGCCAGGGTCAAGGCACGCAGAGGGCTGTGTCTTCCTGCTTGGGCCTCAGGCCCATCTGAAATCCTCAGGCTCCCTGGGCCCCATGGGGCAGCGCTAATGGGTACTGCTTGCCCTCAACACCCATGCAGGGCAGGTACCACAGAGACCACGGGGACCTGTTACCATGGAAACACCAGAAGAAGGCAATAGGCAAGGCCTGCTGGGCTCTGCACCCCCATCCCCTGGGATGCTGGGGAGGCAACAATGCTGGCAATGCCCAGGAGGATGGGACCCAGCCACAGCCCCCGCAGAGGGGGACAGTCTCCCAGGTACGAGACAGAGACAGCCACGGGGCACAAGCAACCTTGGGTGTGAGCAGGTCCCGCCTCAGCTCAGAAGCAGCTGTGCTGAGCTTTTCCCAAACCCTAAATAAAGTTCCCTGACACCGGGTGGTCTGATCACTCCCAAGGCCTAAACACTCTTCTGGGTTTAATGTCTCCAGTTACACTAACAAAACCAAATGAACAGCTTTCCTCAGAAGCACACAGTGACCTTCATGGGGACCTGGGCTTTCCGAAGCCCAATACCACAGATCTTCAGGGACCAGGTAGCCAGGCAGCAGACAGGCCCAACCCTGAGGACCCTGCCCAGTGGTCCCTGCCCCAGGCTCCCTGCTGGGCCACAAATATCACCCAGCCGAAAATATTTCAGAGACATAACTGGGTTAAAATGTGTTTTGGGGGGGATAGGGGGGCTCCAGGGCTTGATCCACAGGCCTCACACCTGCTAAGTGCTCTACCACTGAGGTATACCCCAGCCCTAAGATGCACCTCAGTGGGACAGGACAACCCACTTCTCCAGGTACAAAACTTGCAGACATCAGCACAGCCATCTCGGCAGGGAAAACCTACCCCAGCCCACAGAGACCAACACCACATGACCACGGCACAGTGGAGGAGGTGCTCCTCAGCTGAAGAGGACATGACGGGGCACAGACAAGGGCCACAGTCCACCTGGCTTGACTGCTGCCCCCATATTGGTACCCACCCCAACCCTCTCCATCACCCAGAGCACAAACCCTCATTCTAAACTTCAGTGACAAGTCCCTGGGGTAGAAAGCGAGAGGAGACACAGGGGCACCAGGGTGGGGTCTGCAGGGTGGCCGGGAGCTATTTCTTTTCTCTGTGACAAACCAAGAGGTCCCATGGCTGCAGGCTTCGCGGGGTCGGCAGTGGCAGCAGTAGTGAGCAGTAGAGGGAGGGGGCCCTCTCACCACCACAGGTTTGGGGGCTCCTCTGCCACCCTACTTTTAAACAAGGTGATCTCATCCAGGTGCACCATGGGGACGTCCCGGATGACATCTGTCAGGCCCTCGTGGAGCAGGGGGAAGATGACAACATTCAGGGCGGGCCTTTCAGCCTGGAAACTGAAGCAGAGACCAGCGGTCAGTGGGGTGTGGTGCAGGCCACAAAAGGAACAGCTACCATGGGAATGTGGGGATCAACACCCACATCCCCACAAGCCCAGCCTAAGATCCCAGCCCATGAGAGTCACCCTGATGCATGGAGGACACAGAAATCAACCTCAAGGGCCCTTAGTGGCAACCTGAGCTGGAGACCAGATGGGGGGCAGCAGGAAGGATGAAGGGGGACGGGGGCTGTCACCCTTCTGCCTGGGCACAGGAGTGGCATCCAGAGGAGGCCAGCAGAAGGGACCCGGCATCCCAGGGGTGATGGCTTCCCAGGACAGCAGTACTGGATGAGCAGAGAGCCCGTGCCTTCTGCCACCAAGGAGGGCGGACCTCAAGAGAAGCCACAGTACGTGCCATGAACTAAGGTAACAGAGGCTTACTGGGCCACTCCATACCCTGTACTGCAGACTGCAAGCTCACTCTGCTGGGACGGGTGGCTGAGTCTCCAGGAGAGACTGGAGTGACCAGAGGGAGGTGGAGGCCAACACCTCAGGCCACATGGCAGGGCAGTGAGGGACAGGTAGGCAAGCTGGCTTTGCTTCCCCGCCTCAGGGAGCCCTGAAACCTCTGGAGCATCCAGGTCTCCTGCTGGCCAAGATGCATCCTTCAACCCTAAATCCAGACCCAGATGGGATGACAGAGGGGGACCATACAGAAGAAAGCAGGTCCAAAACCTAGCTGCCATTTTCTCCAAGAAAGCAGGAAAAGCCGGGTGCCACCAGTGGTGCACACCTGCCATCCCAGCACCCAGAAGGCTGAGGTAGAAGGATCACAAATTTGAGCCCAGCCTGGGCAGCTTAAAGAGACTTGGGAAGACCCTGTCTCAAAATCAAAAACATACAAGGGCTGGCTGGGGAGATAGCTCAGAGGTCTAAGCACCTGCCTAAGCCATCTGCAAGGACCCGGGTTCCATCCCTGGTACTGCATGCCGTGCAGGCCTCAGAACCCTAGGTCTGTCATGCCAGCCACTAAAACCAGGCATGGTGGCACATGCCTATAATCCCAATGCTGGGGAGGCTAAGACAGCAGGATCACTACAAGTCCCAGCTGTGTAGTGAGATCCTGTACCAAATAAGTAAATAATTTTCTAAAATATTAAAAAGTTAAAAAAAAAAAAAAAAAAACAAGGGCCAGCAAGATAGCTCAGCAGACTAAGTGCCTGCTTAGGCAAGTACAGGGACCAGGGTTTGATTCCTGACCCCACATGCCACACCGGCCCTGCCCTTAGGTGCGCTAAACCAACCACTAAGACTGGCATGGTGTGGGCATGGTGCCGCAGGCCTGTAATCCCAGTGCTGGGAAGGCTGAAAACAGGAGGATCCCTACAAGTCCAAGCAGTGTAATAAGACCCTGTACCAAATACATTAAAAAAAAAAGAATCACAACATACCAGAGCTGAGGACAGAGCACAGCTGTCAGGGTTCTATCCCCAGTGTGCCAGGCAGGTCCTGCCCTTCGGATGTGCTGAGACAGCAACTGAGACTGGGCGTGGTGGTGCACCCCTGTAATCCCAGTGCTTGGGAGGCTGAAAACAGGAGACTCACTAGGAGTCCGGTCTATGTAGTGAGACCCTACACCAAATACATTAAAAAAAAAAAAAAAAAGAGCTGAGGCTGTGGTTCAGTGCAAAGGTTTATACCAAAACAAACGGAAAACAGGAAAGGGCTCTGGGGTTTCAGTCTCAAATTTGGAAGAGCATAGCTAAAACATGGATCCAGAGCCAGCCAAACAGCTCAGCAGATTAAAGTGCCTGCAAGCAGGTGCAGGGGCTGGGGGTTTGATCCCCAGGCGTGCTGTCCCGGCCCCGCCCCCGTGGTGTGCTGAGATGGCAATTGAGACTGGGGGTGGTGTCATGCTCCTGTAATCCCAGCTCTTGGGAGGCTGTAAACAGGCAGATCACTATGAGTCTGATCTAGTAATGAGACCCTGAACACCCTGTGGACCCTTTCCTAAAAATACAAAAAAGACACAGATCCTGGAGAACAAATGTGACTCAAGACACAGTGTGTGGTGCTGGACACACAAGAGCCCTCCCCTGCCACAGTCGTAATGCGACAGTGGAAAGGCGGACACTGAGGCAAGCAGGCCCTGCTGCTTTGTGCTTCCTGAGAGATGGGGCCAGGGCCCAAATCCAAAGGCCAGGAGGCCTGCACCTCAGCGGAGTCAGCACCAAAACCACAAAGGACAAGAAGGGACACCATGTGTGGAGGCAGCAGGAAGGTGTGACCTGGGATAGGGCAGCAGTGCTGGGGGGCCATCGGGCCTGTGCGCTGAGTCAGAGTAGCGAGAACCCCTCCCACGCGGGTGAGGGACAAGTGGAGAGAGGGGCAATTGGGTGATGGAAAGCACAGCTCCAGAAGACAACTGAGCTTGGCCTCCTCCCAGCACACTTGGAGCCAGGCAGGAGCCAGGCAGCAGGGAGCCTACTGAGCACCACAGCACCATCTACTGGGGCCCTCCAGAGAAGCGCTTGGCACAGCACAGCCAGGATGCTCCAGCGCCTGCACTCGGGCAGGAGACCAGGCCCAGGGCAGGGACAGCCTGTGTGGAACAGCTGGGGCAGCGAGGACGCAGGGCAGTGGCAGTGGTGACAATGGCCAGGCCTCCCCCACCCAGAGGGCCCACATGCTGGCTCCCCAGGCTGGAGGAGAAAGGCCTAGGGCAGAACAGGGTTTCCACCGCTTTTGCTTGCCTGCTTGTCTGTTTTTGAGGTGCCACGGGATAGAACCCAGGGTCTAACACAGGCCAGAGCAGGCCTCCATCTCGGAGCTGCATGCCTGAAGGGAACCCTTTTCCTCTGAAGGTAACCCCCATCCCTCCCAGAGGCTTTCTGCCCTTGCCACTCCCTGCATGCCTCTCAGGGCCTCAGTGTCTCCAGTGGTGTGTGGCCAAGTCTCCTCTTGGGGTTAAGGGCCCACAGGAGCTCTAGGCAGCTACACAGTTCACACCCCGGGTCACCTTGGGAACATGGACGGCTGCAGGCACCACAGCCCTGGATCCCTCTGCGGAGCAGCAAAGTCACAGACTGTCGGGCACTAGGCCAGGCACCGGGCAGGGACAGGCTAACAGGGGATGCTCAGCTTCCCCTAGGAGTCCACCTGGCCCACAGCCTTGGGTCCGGCATTGACTGCCTCTCATCCGCGTGATCAGGACCCACCGGGCTGCCAGTGAGCCCAGTAGGGCACAAGGCTTGAGGCAAAGAGCACTGCAGGGCAGCAGCCTCCGAGAGCCAGCTATCTACACAGGGGTATCTGAGGGAGGAGGCTTGGCCGAGGGTGGTCAGCTGGCCTAGGCCACCCAGGTTGTGAGAAGTACCAAGAATCAGAAAGCGGCCTCCCCAGCTGGGACATTCCGACCCTCATGGACTGCACTGGCTGTCCCTGTCACAGCTCAGCTCTGACCTCCCCACTGAGCAAGGGTATTCTCTGCTTTGGAGAAGGCTGTTCACACACAGGCAAGAGCAGCTACTCCAGGGGTGAGCATAACTTGGGCCAGGGCCCCCTCAGCAGAACACAACCCGGGAGGGGAGGGGCCAGTGCTGGGCTACAGCAGCCTCCATCCCCTGGTCCAGCCAAAGGAAGGACAGCAGCAGAACTGCCCCACCTGGCTGACACCTCCCTCAACCAGCTGCAGGGGCCCCATGGCCCAGCCATCAAAGTGCCACGGAGCCTCCAAGTGCCCTCTGCAGGTGTCAGCTGTCTCTGCCAACACCAGGAATCCAGGGGTGCATCAGTGGGAAGGCCTGAACTGGAATACCCTCCTCCATGCCTGGACCCCAATTCCCGAGCTAGAAAGTCAAGATCTGAGATACAGGAAGGTCAGTGACAGTAACAGCTATCACTGACAGCCAGAAACAGAACTAGCCCATGAAACCAACACCAAGCAGACATGAAGAATCACTGGAAAGCTGGGCATGGTGATGGGTACTCATAGGCCCAGCCACTCGGAAGGCTGAAGCAAGATGGTCCCTTGAGCCCGGGGCCTGCTGGGCCTGCGGAAGCAACATGCTGTGACCCTAGAATGCACAAGGCTCTAGGTTCCATCAGAAAAGAGACAGGGTAACTTCACAGCAGAGAAACTGGGCAGGTAGCACCTGAACCAGGCCATCAAGTGCGCACACAGGGTCACGCACAGGCCTGACATCATACTGAGAAGCCCACATGTCTCCCATGGGATTTCTCTGCCAAAAATGAAGCAATCACAATAAAAAACCCTGACAACCCCAGCATGGGGGCGGGGCTGACAAGACACACAAAGACAGGCTGAACCCAGCCAGGGCTGGAGTGGGCGAAGGAGTCAGATCACTAGCCCCTTGAGGGCTCTGACCGGCCCTGCAGCTGACCCCGGAATACCGTGTGGATGCTGAGGGAGACTGACAGGTTCTAAGTTCACTTGCTTGGCCATTACACTGCTAATTTTTTTGGGGGGAGGCAGTACCACAGAGGAAACTTGGGACCTTGGCTTGCCAGGCGAGCCTTTATGCCACTGAGCTATCTCCCTGGCCCACATGCTAATATCTTGTTTTGCAGTACTGGTTCTTGAACCCAGAGCCTGCGCACTGAGCTACCTCTCAAGCCCTTTTTTTATTTTTTTATGTTGAGACAGGCTCTTGCTAAGTTGTAAAATTGCCCAGGCATGGCCCAAATTTTCCATCCTCCTGCCTCGACCTCCCCAAATGCACAGACCATCAAACTTGGCTTACAGTCTGCTTTATTCCACCCTGCCAGTGTTTCTGTTTTAATCACTGTGTCTCAGGTAACCATAGTGCCACATTAGGGTTAATGGGATCTGATAGCTGTATTTATTTTTGCAACTCTTCTAAAATTAGCTTAAAATAAGAAGTTGGAAGGAGAACTCTGGGGTGTGTATTTTGTACACCAGGGAAACATTTACAGCATAATGTGGGCAAATGCATAATAACTGGAGGCTGATGGTGGGTGTTGCAGCATCTAGGGAACCAGCAGCCAGGAGACGGCAGGGGTGGGACGGCAGGAAGGAACAGACCTCTGCTCCCTGCAATCCCAGCCACTGCTGTGCAGGCCAGTGCCCCCTGCCCACGGCCAAGCCTGCCCCCCACTCACCTGCGGAGGAGGGACTGCTGCAGACTCTTGCAGGTGGCAAGTGACTCGCCAGTGAACACGTGGCACACAACGACGTGTGGGCAGCGGGCCATAAAGGCCGACATGGCGTCAGGCTGCAGGGTGCCACTGCGGGAGACCAGACACAGGCGCTGCAGAGAGGCGCACTGGCTCAGCGCCTGGAAGAACTGGGCGTTGGCGTTGAAGTAGGGTTGCTCCAGCCTGCAGGCAGAGGGGCACGTGAGGGGGCGGGGACCTGGGACTGGGGAGATCCGATGGGGGGGCCTGATGCCACCAGCACATGGAGCCCCCCACTGCTCCATCCAGCTCCCCACACACCGGTAAGGAGGGAGCACAGGAGAACCCATTCATAGCCCCGCACACACTCCTTGGGGATGGAGAGAAAGGAGCCGGGCAGGAGAGGATGGGAACCTGGGAGGTTGGGCAGAGGCCACTGCAGGCATGACAAGAGTGGAGAGCACTGGGAGGGCCAACCCAGGAAGCCAAGACTCAGCTCTGGAGGGGGCAGCACCCAGCCCAGCCCACAACTGTTTTAAAAAGAGTTGGATGGAACTTTGATAGGGCAGGGCCAGCAAGCAGACAGGAGCCTGTGCCAGGGCCAGGGTCTCTAAACCGCGCACGCTGGGCTTCAACGTGCAATACTCCTGCCTCAGCCTCCCAGAGTGCTGGGATGACAGGTGTGCGCCACTGCACCCAGCTACCTTTTTATACTTTAAAAACTCGCCACCGTTGCAGGAGGTACTATTCCCCTGGGCGGAGCAGCATCAAGGCTGACAGCAGATCAGCGGCCTTGCTAACAGGCAGGGACATCTGTCCGAAGTGGGCAGGCAGGCGCAGGGTTGCTGCAGCTGGTGGAGATAGGTGTCTGTACACGGCCACGGACTGGGGACACGGCCGGGCGCCACGCCAGTCCCCCCAAATGACTGGGGAAGAAATGCAAAAGGACATTTTTCGAAGAAGCCAGCTCTCCTTTGCGAAACAGGCTACACTCCTACCACTGTAGTCACCTTCATCTGACCACGGGGAGGAGACATGCAGTGACAGAAGCAGTGGACAGGGTGGCCACCACCACTACCAGACTCCACACGTGGCACAGCAAAGGCTGGTCCTCCCATGGGGCACAAAAGCCCCAGTCGCCAGCTTTGTTCATGAGGGGAGGACCTGTGGAGACTGCAGACTGGATCATGCTAGTGACCTCACAGGACAACCTGAGAAAGAGGAGCTTCCAGGACGAGTGAGACAGGCAACACCTTCCCACGGCACCAGGGCCACCTCTCAGCCCTATGCTGAGTCACACTGGATGGTGACACTGAATGAAGCTGAGCTGAGTGGACACAGTGGCCATGCAGTCCCCCAGGACAGAAACCCAGCCAAGGGCCCAGCCCCACTGGCCCATCACCCAGGAAACATTAACAGGGATGCGACTCAGCTGATAGAAAGGACAGGGGTCTGCAAAAACACAGGCCAGACAGCAGCTGAGGCACAGCCTCCTGCTGGCTTCAAGGGTATGAAACCCAGGTTCTCCTCTCCCAGCACCACAGAGACAGAAGGGAGCTAGCCGACTAGGAGAACGGCCCCTGGGACACTAATTGGGCTGCGCCACCAAGACGCCACTGGTTCCTTTGTGGCCACTCAACAGCTGAATGCAGCTACTGAGACCGGTCTCTTATTTTATTTGCAGTCCTTTCGCTTTGTACTGAACTTAAACCCTAGCCTTTATATATATATAATTTTGATTTACTTTTTGCTGCAGGGTCTCACTACATAGCTCGAACTCGTAGTGATTCTCCTGTTTTCAACCTCTCTAGCACTGGGACTACAGGTGCACGCCACCATGCCAGGACTTGGTCACTGGCCCTGCTGCTGAGCCATGTGCTGCCAGGGTTCGAATCTTGACCCCTGTACTTGCCTAAGCAGGAGCTTAGTCCACTGAGCTATCTCGCTGCCCCCCCTTTTTTTGAACAAGGGCCGCACTAAATTGTCAAGGCTAGGCTCACTTATGATCCTCCTGCCTTGGTCTCCCAGAGTGCTGGTGTTACAAGTGTGCACCACCACGCCCGGCTAGAGGCTGGTTTTTAACAGAAGTATGCTCAGCTCCTATGGTTCCTGACTATGGGGGAGGCACAGGTCCTCCCAGGGAAAGGTCCGGAAAAGCTGCTGCCCCCTTTCTAACTGGGGTGGCGGAAGGCAGTCCCTGGGTGCTGCTCCCCGACACGCGCATGGAGTACGAGCCTCATCTCACAGGCACATGTGACCAATGTGCACACCTGACCAATTAAAGACACAGGAGTGGGCCCGGGGAGATAGCTCAGTAGAATAAGTGCTTGCCTGGCAAACACAAGGGTCTGAGTTCAATCCCCGGTTCCGAGAAAAAAAAAAAAAGACACAGGGCAGACATGTCTCGGGCTGCAAAGGTGGTGATGTGGCTATTGCCCTCTCCAAGGACATGCCAGGCCCCTGCAGCAGTGGAGCCGACAGCTAAGAAGCGGTACTCCACTTCCCAGTTTGAATTTTTGTTTTTGGTCTGTTTTTTTTTTTTTTTTTTAATTTTATTTTGAAAGACATGATAATTTAATATAATCTTATTAAAGGCTTTAAACACACTAAAAAAGCTTTATATCTATGGGAGAAGAGGATGAAAAAAATTCAGACACCAAGAGTCCTACTAGACATCATGGCACATACTTGTGATCCCAGCACTTGGGAGGCTGAGGCAGGAGGGTCCAAGTGAGTTTCAAAGCCAGCCTGGGCTACTGGTTTTACTTTTTAATATTTATTTATTTATTTGATACGTGGTCTCCCTACACAGCTCAGACTCAGTGATCCTCCTGTCTCAGCCTCCCCAGCACTGAGATCACAGGCGTGTGCCACCACGCCTGGTTTAAGTGACTGGCACAGTATGCGGTACCAGGGATTGAACCTGGGTCTTTGCGCTTGTCAGGCAGGCGCTTACATTGCCAAGCTATCTTCCTAGCCCCTTGGTCTGGTTTTATTGAGACAAGGTCTCACCATGTAGTGTAGGCTGGCCTCAAATTGGAGACCTTCCTGCCTCAGCCTATGGACTTTTTTTTTAAATACTGGGGATTGAGCCCAGGGCCTATGCACACAGGGGCTCACTAACTCAGTAAACTGCTGAATCTAGGTTTAAATGTGCCATCCACCAGGTTTGGTGGCTCACTCCTGTAATCCCAGCATTTGGGAGACTGACATAGGAGGATCACTGTGAATCTGAGGTCAGCCTATACTACATTAGCAAACTGAAAGCTAGCTTGAACTACAGAGCAAACCCTGTCCCAACACACACACACACACACACACACACACACACACACAATGAAAGAAAGAAAGAGGCCGGGAGATGGCTCAGTAGAGTAAGCGCAAGGGCCTGAGTTCAATCCCCAGTTCTGCAGAAAGAAAGAAAGAAAGAAAGAAAGAAAGAAAGAAAGAAAGAAAGAAAGAAAGCAAGCAAGCAAGCAAGCAAGCAAGCAAGCGAGCGAGCTATCCTCCTGCCTCAGCCACCCAGACTGCTGGGATTACAAGTGTGTACCATGATGCCATCTTGGATTTCAAAGTATTTAAACACACAAATTGGTT